GCACAATGAAGAATGCCTTTACATATCCTGTCGGGATCGATATATATTTTCTATATAAGTGTGTGATACACACACGCGCGCACACACGAATACTTCAGTGTATATTATTATTATTATTATTATTATGACTATAATATGCGTGTGGTAGAGGTGCGCAGTCCGTCTACGGGCGGCCGTTTTGTGCTCGGCCGCCGCCGACACAATACCCCCAAATTGGAATTTCGAAGACATAAAAGACATTCCCCGCGATGAATGAACTATACGACGGCGGCGGCGCATATTTGATGACAGTTTTCGAATGTTCCGGAACAGCATTACTATGCGCTTGCAGCACGCCGAACTGACGAAGTGAGCCCGTGCTGCTGCGTGCATCGATACCATATAGGTGGGTATACGACGGTAAGAGACCCGGTCTCCTTGATGGACACACACGGTGGCAAACAGGCGAAATCGTTTTTCTGTAATGAACTTAAACGACGACGCCGTTTAAAAATCGACCCGAATAATTTACGAACAAAACAGAAAAAAAAAAAGAAAAAAAAGGAATACACTAATGTATTCTATTGTAATTGTATTATACCTATACAATGTTATATAAATTAGGTAATATTCTCGTCGTGCGCGAGATAATACCGTCGATATCCAACCGTCTATTTGTTATCGTTAACCCTGAAGCGCTAAATTGATTTGCGCTTTTGTACCTTAGTATAGTGAGATAAAAGTACAAAAATACATTTTATTACTTGATGCAATATTTTATCCGTTAGTGGCGTGACCGGGAATTTTCAATAGGCACTGTAGCAAATAAGAATCTTAAATAAATCGTAGAACCGTCATCTCTACCCAACTTGACTATGAGAATTGGTAATTTAAAAGCCGGATCCTAAAAAAAAAAAACAAATTTATAATTAATACATATCAAGTTTTTCCTAGTGATTTAGCTGAAATATATACATTTCAATAATTTGTTTGTATTTATAAGCCAATGGGGTAAATTAATGGGGTAATTAAAGCCCCTAATTTCCTCCTAGCGTATGCCACTGTGATATTGCACCATTATAGTTTCAGACACTCGTTATATTAAATTATCAAATATATAGTTTTTTTTTTATTTCAAAAACAAGTAAACAACAGTATTTGAATTCAGTAAAAGTTTAGTTTTATTGTATCATAAAGATTTGTATTTTAGTTTCAATTAAATTAAGGAACCTATTTACAATATTAATGTAAAAGTTTAAATAATAGTAACTATGGTTTTAATAAAATACATTACTTTTATTTTAAAATTTGTTTGCGTTTATCAGACACGGCAACAGAATTTTTTTCCTGGAGGGGTAGAAAGGGGCAAGTACATTATTTAGAGAAGCAAACACAACAATTTTACTTTTCAATAAAAAATAACAACTAAATGAATTATATACCAGTGAACACTGTATTAATAACACAAAACACATTGAATACATCAGTACCCAATTCTTAAAAATTTAAATTATACAATAATATTATCTACTTGCTTTGATGATGCGGCAGGCGGCGACGATGAGATTAGAAATTGCCTATACTTTGTCCCTTATTGAATAGCTGTGAGCAATCCCATTAATAATTCGAATAATACAAATTCCTGCGTGCGTAAATATCATTAGTGCACGGTTTTGGGGGGGCGAGAATTTGTCCTGGGTGGGTGACCTCTCAACTTCGTCCATTTAGCGCCGTCCCTGGCTCTTATGGGATCTTTAAATTTGCTCTTTCAGGTTACGATTAGAATTTTTCGGTCCTAATTATTTTGCACTTATGACGGGCTACAGCCGATAATATTATTTACGCATAGGCCCAGCGGTTAAAGTGAGGGGGACGAAATCCCCTTTTTTATTTAAGGTAAACGATCTTAGGTCAATCTTAGCCTCAGTCTTCGGAGTCTGTTAGTTATTGTCACTGAGACATTTTTAATGACATTTTAAAAATTCGAATTGATTGTATTTAAAATAAATTCTATATAATATACATATTAGATCATTCGTAATCAGACTCTGTTAAATTTGTTTTTACTGAGCAGGCATATATGTAGGATAATATTTGAGAGGGAAAAGAGTGCAGTTTATTTTTAAACCCTATTAGTATAGCATTTTTATGAAAAATGTATGCGATAGAAAAACATTTTGACTCCATGATAGGTTTCCTGAAAGTTTGATTTGGTTGAGTCAGTTCTCGTGAATGTTCCTCAATTTTCAATAAATTAAGGCCTACTTCGAAGTTTTCCCACTTTTACCACTACATATAGACTATAATGAAAAATATAACTTCGAAAAAAAATTGAGCGTTATGCAGAGTAATTTTTTATAGAAGCGTCTAAAGTTCAAATTTTAATGAAAATTAAAAAAAAAAAAATATGGCATTATGCTTACTTTTTTGTCTACATATTTATGTGCAAAAACATTTATTTTGTTCTGGTTGAAATGCTCGAAAATTTAACACGAGGTCAAGTTGCCTAAGTTGTACTAAGTAGAGAAAAAAAAGACGTCCCAGGATAATGGGGACTGGTGCAGCCACTGTTATAGGTAATTTAATGTATATCTGTTAGCAACGATTAACCATTGCTAATGAAAAACAATTCTAAGCGAAATTCAGTTGATAATAATACAATAATATATATTTCATATTATGGTAAAATGATTAAAAAAAGCACCATACATTAACTTTAATAATATTTGTTTAATGTACCGATTTTCCCGTTTTTCCTACGTTTGTCCCATGTTTTTTCCTAGTTTTTTGCATTTGATGAGAAAACTTGAGAAAATCGAAAAATGACTCACTTACAGTACCTCCCCACACCGATTTCCTTTCAGAAAATATGCTACACGTTAAAATTGGAGCAAGTTCTCTGATGGAAAAGTTGTCCACAGAAAAAAAAATAAACATGTACTAAAGAATCTAAAACATGAGCGTATATAGCTTGGATACTTGGTTTAATAATAATTTATTATTATTCATAATAAATTGCTGCATTCGCAGCATTACCTACATATCTATCTGTTATCGCCAAGTAAATACCTATGCAGCCAAACGATTATTTATGGTTTACTGTGTCTCCAAACAGACAGACAGTCTATTGAATAACCAGTAACGGAAGATTTTGCTTACCTATTGTAATTTAACTAGGTAGGTACTAGAAAATACACGGTAAACGATTGAATTAGTTAATTTTGCAAAAAAAAAAAAAATTGTATTTTATATATGAAGTAAGTACTCTCACTGGTGAGGGGATAAGAAACTGAGAAAAGTCCAAACGTTAAGGGGAAAGATTGGTTTATCTATTCGTGGCGCTTTATTAAGTGAGGGGGACACTCAGTTATATTTATTATAAAAATATCCTGCGAAGTATAAAGTTCCCGAAAGCAAAATATTTTTTCAGCCTTATTATAGAAAATAGAAATTATTCACTCCTTGTCACCAAAATAGGTACTAATGAAAATATATTTTTGACTGGGTAATTGTTTTTTTTTTTGAAAAAGATAAACCCGACCACTTCTTACCTTACACTTCTTTTAATTTTAAATTAAGTAAATATACATTCGCAATTACACATTATATGTTTGTAAATTTTATTTATATAATTCAACACATTTTAATGAAAACATGAAATAATTTGTAATTGTTTAGTATGGTTATTGATTAAATATACTATGTATTTTTAATTGTTATAATATTACCTATCACCTTTATCAGTTTGTCACTACAAGTTACACGTGAATCGTTGTCAATTAAATTAGCATGGACAACTATCTATTTGATTTGCTACACACATTTAAATTGATTCAATGTTAATTATAATTTTTCCATCAAATAGTTGAAAATTAGGTACCAACACCTCTATCACATATGTAAACTGCCAAAAATATAGTTTGCTTGGAATCAACTGCCTTGATTGGCCCTGTGATAATTACGCCACTGTTGTAGTTTTTCAATTATTCAACATAGGTAATACCTTGGCTAAATATATTTAGCTATTAGTAATATAGATACTATAGATAAATAGTAACACTACAAATAGAATAGTGTCAAGTATGGTATTTTATTTTTAAAATTAAATTTTAATTGTGGTTTAAAGTAGGTAAGTAATAATAGACAACAGTTTATGTAGGTTTATGTAGGTAACTATTTATAAAAGTTGTATAGACATTATATTTAACTGTTTAATACAGATTTTATCGAAAAGTGAATAATACTTTTTATGTAACATGTGTCCAGTGTAACTGTAGCAGTACCTACTTCTGTTTTGACATACCAACCTAATAAACTGCATTGGTACTAATTGATACATTTTTTATTATTTAATTTAGATTTAATACAAGCAATACAAAAAAATGTATGAAATAGACTTTGAGTAAGTTAGTTTTATAAAGTAAAAACTGAATGATAATTAAATTATAATTTTTTAATATACAGTTTCAATTATGTGATTAAACTTGTAAATAAGACCAAGGTACTTAATGTATAATTCTAAAATCTAAATTAATTTCTTAATTTTAAATAAAACTTACCTACTTAAATCAAAAAAATATTTACAAAACTATTCCAGGGCAATTTTATAGTTGATGACAAAGAATCAAAATGTAAATAATAACAAGGGTGTTTAAATTTGTTTAACCTTGGTTGATTTGATATAATCAAATAAAAAAAAGTGTTATTCCTTAAACCTTTTATCTTCAATTCTTATTATATGAAGATTGACTTATATATTCTTTCATTTTTGTCCTTGTAATTAAATATTATATATTTTGTATAGCATTTTTAAACTGATAAATTATATATTTTACATAATATAATGCATTGTAATTATTATTTAATGAATAAACTTATTCAATGTAATTTTTATTATATTATACTATACAGCTTTACATATTTAGTTTTATTTAAACATAACTTAAGTTATGTAAAGTACTGTTTATTTACAATTTATAAAAAACACATTTTTATTTAAATAGAAATAACAATTTTTGATTTTATTGAATAGTTTTTAAATAGCTATTAAACATTTCTACACTAGTTTTAGCAATATTTAAACAAAACTCTGAATCAGTTCCGGAAACTAACTTTAAAAGTGACACATAATTGGGCTTTGTTGGGTCGTATTGTACTCGATTTAAATATTTTAGATATTCATGCCGCTGTTTGATTCTGAATAAACGACAGGATAACACTTGAGGTTCAAGGACAATGCGATCATGATTTATGTTCATAGTGTTATGTATATAGTCGAAGCGTTGTAATAAATGATTTTTAGACATAGTGTATAATTTAGGCTGGATTAATAACAATCTTTTCCTTTCACTCCTATTAAAACCCATTTCTTCATTCAGAGAAAACATAATTAAATTCACTGATTTCTTTGGCCAAGTAATCAATTTTGGTAATTTAGTAACTAAATTACGAACATTGTCTCCAGAAAGATAGAATTTATTTTGGAAAAATCCAAGACTTGTATCAATGTCAACTGTGCTGTGTGATAACCATTGTGGATGTTTTCGAATTATTGTAGTAATCATTTCTTTATTGAAATTTTTGTGCTCTAGATAATTAATCCGAGTTATTAAATCATCCATGTGTTCAGCGAATAACAAAGGATTTTTAGTGAAAAATTTTCCCATTTCTTCAGTTGGTACTCCAATATCATGTATAAATCTGATGTATGGTTTCATATCACGTTCAAAATCCAACTTTAGTATCGTTTCCATTATTTTAGGATTACTGTCAAATTTGTAAAGTTCAACACCAAGTTTAACCAACTGCTGTAATGAATAGGATTCATTAACATATGCAGCTAGATTAAATGTAGGACGTAATGCTGGACTTATAGTAGACACATTTGTAACATTGGGTTCCAACGGAGAATCACTATATTCTTTGGGCCATTGAATTTGATTCAATTTTATTGTCTCCAAGGTATTATTAGAGCTACAAAAAAATCTGAATAATTCCTTTTGGTTATTAATTTTAAAAGATAACAAACGTTTAGTTAACATCATGTTTATAAAATCAAAGAATAGAGCATGAAAGTTTTAATTTGCTGGATTGTAGCCAAAAAGGTAAATTTTGAAAGTGAAGAAATGCTCTTACGTAGTCATCCCTATTTGAATCTGTAAATAATAACAGATATTACTTTTTATTTTACAATTTTATAACATTTATTTCTGTATTTAATTAATCAAAATAAAATTTGTATCGATTTTATAAGTATACAGGGCAATTTTTTTTTACCATGAACCAGCAATTATCTCAGAGAATTTTAAGTGAATTTGATTTCTGTTTTTTCTAACTATTATGGAATCGCTTAAGCTTTATTTCAAAATTATTTTCAAATAGGAACCCCTCCCCCTTTTGAACACAGATTTTAATAGAGAATATATTTCTAGAAATTTTGATATGCATAACAATAATATCAGATTTATCATTTATGAGTTATAACAGTTTAAAGTTTAGACTAAAGGAGTAGGGAAGGGTAATAAATTGCCTATCTATGACACTTCTCAAAAAATCACCCTGTATATATTGTATAATTTTGGTTACACAGTCATTGAGTTTTATATATCATAAGGCTAGGTTCACATTGGTGAATAGTGGGTGATATCAAAGCTACACATTTGTGATTAAACATACCTATTTAATATTTCAGGACAAATGACTAACAGTTTTGAAATATGTGTTCAATCTAAATTGTGTTTCTCGGGTATCATCTGTTACTTTCCAATGTGAACCTCGCCTAATAAAAATCAATAAAAAACTAAAAAAATAAATTTTATTATTGTATTTAAAAATGCATTGACGCTCACTTTGTTTAGAATCCCATATATTTAACTATCAATATTAAAAATAACTATACCAATAACTGGTAATATTAATAACAATTATATAATAGTTATTATTACTTAATATGATCCCTATAATATATTATTGAAAAATATTAAAATGATACAAACATTATTTTGTCTTGATTAATAATATTACACTCATATTATGATTTCTTACCGTTTAATAGTTGGTTATTGAAGCATATGAATACAAAATTAAATTAATATAAAAAAACAAATTGTCAAGAAAAGTCAAAAGGTACTTCTGTTCAAGTTTGGGATTTATTAATTACTATTTTACTATTTACTTATTAGTTTAGGATAGAGAGTCTGCAGATATTCGCAAATGATAAGGACAAATAATGATAAGAATACATGATACAAAAATTAATTCAAAATGTAGTTTAATGGTTAAGAAAATAAAAATATTGTTTTCAAATTGTGTATTTAGTAATGTTACATTTAATATAGGATATATATTATTTTCTATTTAATATTGAAGTATTACAAATTTAAATTTAGGTATAAAAATTACGCTCCCGAGTGGTTTTAATTCATCCTTATCATTCACAAATTACTACTATGATAATAATTTTAAATGCTTAAATATTTAAAAAAGTAAACCCGCGTAATAACTTTTATCACTTATAATTTACCATATTATTTTTTGCAATCTACATAATACGTTATATATTCCAGTTTCCACTTTTCCAGTAACATAAAGTACATTCACGGCGTAGGTAGACAATAGTTGATATTTAAAAAACACTAATAAATTTAGTATAAGCATATAATTAGTTCCTTTACTTGAATTACTTGAATTACTAATTAGTCAATTACAAAACAATGAAAAAACTCGTGTGTACAAGGGATCAAGTAAATTTAAAATGTGTCCTTCTTGGTGGACAGAGTTTCAGGTAAATTAATTAGTATTGTTATAAGTAGTTTTATACTGGATTATTTATTCAATAAATAGGATTTTTTTTCTTGTTAAATTTAAATATAATATGCATATTTACACGTTAGTTTATTTACATCATTTTAGATATTTACATACTGTTATGATTTTTTCTTATTTTATAAACCTTTTGTGGTTTAGCTTTTAAAAAATATTGAAATAAATCTAGTGTAATATTATAAATTATAATTATCAGGTAGTTACCTACTTAATACTAACATGCATTATGTGTTAAATGATTAGATGGAAAGAAACTGCTCCAAACGAATATTCAGGAGTATTCTCTGGTGGTTTTTGGGTATTACAACAAAACGATGATCATATAAATTTCAAACGAACTCCGGCTACAAATTCTGACGAACAAAGTCTGAGTAATTATCTCAGAATGAATGAGCCCTTGGACTTGTACTATAAAGAATGGAGTATATGTGATCCTATTTTTAAAAAGTCAGCTGAACGATTTAAAGGAATTAGAATGTTGAAACAAGAGCCAATTGAAAACATATTATCATTTATTTGTTCATCAAATAACAACATCATAAGGTAAATAATTGATATTTATGCAATTTTATTAACTTTTTTTAAAATTATTAATAATTATTTAAATTTATTTATTATAGAATCTCATCTATGGTTGAAAAAATGTGTACTTTATATGGTGATAAAATCGAAGGGACTGATATTTATGCTTTTCCAAACATTGACCAATTAGTAAGAGGAAACATTGAGGAAGATTTGAAAAATGCAAAATTTGGTTATAGAGCAAAATTTATTAGTCAAACAGCTGAAAAAATATTTAAATTAGATGGGATAAAATGGATTGAGAAACTGAAAAACATGGATTATGATAATGCTAAAAAAGAACTGATGTTATTGCCTGGAGTTGGTCCAAAGGTAAAAACTTAAAACGTTAAAAAAACAATTCTTCATTACATGTATACTTTATACTTATATAGGTTGCAGATTGTATTTGTTTAATGTCGCTTGATCATTTAGAAGCAGTTCCTGTAGATACACATGTATTTCAAATTGCTCGTGAGAATTATTTACCGCATTTAAAGAAATACAAATCAGTTACTCAACAAGTTTATAATGAAATAGGAGATTGTTTTAGAAAAATATTTAAGAAAAATGCGGGATGGGCACATACAGTAAGAATTTGTATTCTTTATTCACATCACTTAATTTTAAAGTTATTATTCAATAGAAAAAAATGATTTAAAGAAATGTTTATAACTGTGTAACTTACTTACTAAAATACTGTTAGTTTGATATTCCAGTATTTTGTACCTTATGTATATAATTTTCCGGAAGATAATAATAATAATACGATAATACGAATAAGATAATAATACTGTTCCTAATAATAACTAATCTATTGAATAAAACATAAAATAATCCATTTAATATTTTTATCAAGACTCTAAATGTTAGTTATTCATATTATAAATTATATAAATTATTACTTATGTTAAGTGAAGTCATAGAAAGTGATTTATATTATAAAATATTGTTTTTAATTTGCAGGTTTTATTTTTGGACGATTTAAAAACCTTTAAAGCAAATGAATCAAATAATGATAAACTAAATGAAAAACCTAAAGCAAAGAAGAAAAAAAAAATTTGATTTTAGATTAGAATTGTTTTCCTATAGATTTAACTTAATTTTTGTTCAAATCTTACATATTATGATTTTTATTTAAAATATTTTTTAATACATTTATTTATTATTGTTTTTAAATTTCAAAATGAAATTGTATTTTTGTTTTAAATAAATAAATGTTGAAATTAATCTAATACTTAACAAAGAATTTCATTAATTTTAAACTTTTTGCATGTTATCAAAATAATGTTCTTTTTATTTTAAAAATAATCAAGAACTTTGCTCACCAATCTCTTCACTCTAGTGCTATTGTATATATATATATTATAATGACTTATAATGTACATAGTAAGAATTTTTACAATACATGATCCATATATTCTCAAATATTTATTGAGAATACTATGTTGTCAGAAAACAAAGAAATAAAAGTACTCCAAATGTTTGTATTATAGATAAATGTTATATATAAACTTTAATGAACCAATTATTTAAATAAAAAAATGTACAATTTATTCATTAAATCATTTATTTTTTCAATATTCATTTAAATCATTAATTTGTTTTTATTTTTTGTATTTTCATTAATAAATGAAAGCATTGTAGAATAACAAAGTTATAATTTTTATATTATGTATTATGTAAGTAGAAAAATTAATGATATTAGTTTAATATTGAAGTAAATTTACTTGTAATAATATGTATTACTTAAAACCTCAATTAGACTAAAAAAAAAAAAATTATAACATTTTAAACCAAAATGTATGAAATATTTTATACTGATCACTGATTACTTATCTCGATTACTCATTTGTTAACAAGTAAATGTAATCTAATCCCCGATAAGTCAAAATGATGTTACTAATACTTGTGTGTAAGAAATATATCTTTGATACTTTTATATTTCAAGCCATTTATTTTAACTTTTTAAGTAGGTACCTAGATAATTAATATTAAATAGGTATTCAGATTATTATTTTTATGTAAAGATATTGTATAAGTTCTTTTAATGGCGAAGAAAACAAGTTGTGTTTCATAAACAAAAAAAAATCGACAAACAAATTATTATAGCAAAAATATTAATTTTGTAACACCATTGACTGTTTTAAACCAAAAATCTAATTTTACTATAGTTAATAATATGGCCAAGTTGAAATTATATTTTGCAAAACTAAATAAAAAACAATTAATTCAGAAATTATGATAGTTAATTCATAGGTACTTTAATGACATTCATTGTAAACAGATTTATAATATTTGTTCAGTTTATAATCAAAACTACTTAAAATAAAAGTTGTTTTAGATTTAAGCAGTAATTAATATTCTTCTCTAGCATCACCACACTTCGAGTTTTTGTCGCCACCAATATTTCCTTTCACTCCTCTCAATTGTTCACTTTTTCTCCCCTATTCATTATCCATAGTTTTTCCAAACTGAAAACCATATATGGCTCAATAAATTTCAATGATTCAGAATGCTAATTGAGAAGAAAAATTAACAAAATCTGATATCTGACCGGAGTTCTGAAGATAACTAATGTTGTGAAAGGGCAAAATAATCAGTGGTTCGGGCATGTAATAAAGAGGTCTAATGCAGAGAATTTTATAGCAGTAGTCGAGTAGAATCTAACAGGAATAAGACCAAGAAGAGTAAGAACTTCTAAAAAACCAAAGTTATAGTATATGTTTTAAAAAGCCTTAATATTTATAATTTTTGTCAAAATTTGATATTAAAATTTTTATAAAAAAAAATTCTATATTAAAAACAGTTTTTCTTTTCCACAAAGTAAAACTTATAATGAACATACTGTTAAATTTTTAACCATATCTGTTAAGTCTAATAGTTTTATTCACAGGGTACCTGTCGAGTAAAAATTATGTAAGAAACTCGCAAAATAAGAATGTCCATAAATAGTTCAAAGATGGCTCAAATGTTTTGAACATTTTACCACTTCTAGATAAGACAAATATATGTTTTCTGTCCAAATTTCAAATGCCAACAAACATTTTGAATTGAATTACTACAAAAGACAAAATTTAAATAATAAAACCATTATCTTCATAAATAAAACAGCTTGAAAAATCAAAAAATGGCTTGCTTAAAGAACTAATTAGATATAATTTCTTTTCAGAAAAGATATCCACTAGATTCGTCAGAGTAATGTTTCTGGTAGAAAAGTTGTTCACAGGAGAAAAAACACCATACATTCCTCACTGTGTTCCGAATCTAAAAAAATAGATACTTAAACAATAATAATACTCTAAACTTTAGAGTCTAAAGGAATAATAATATTCAATTATATTATTATTAAATTGTGGTTTTCTAAATAGATTTTACTCATATCTTTAAATAGGTAATGTAAATATTGAAAAATTAGCACCAAATAGTTGCACAAATAATTGTTTTACCAAAAATTAATAATAGGTTAATAAATTAAGGCTCTAATATTAGAACTGCTAGTAGAAAGTTATTCCTGCTGAAAGCAATAATTTTTATATGTCATATTATTTGTAAGTGTGACCGATGCAGCACACGCTCTGTATCCTAGGATTAAGTTTTTTTCGTAGTTTAAAACTGTTAACTGATGAGATATGACTTCGATAAAAAACGATAAAATAATTCAAAATACCTACAGGTTATTTTTTTTTTTAGTTTTTTTTAAACTACATTACTGTTTTAACTCATAACTAATTAACATTATACACATATCAGGGTTCGGAGATGAGATAAGATTTAGAATTGGCATTGAAAGCTATTAAGACGGACAATTATAAGGATCATTTCAGGTATATCTAGTTGAATTTAGCGGAATAATCGAATTGTACTTTTTACTTAAACTATAATGATCATATTGCACTCAAGTCAAAAATGTTTGAAAAAAAACAATACTAATATATCTTCCAGTTTGTTATCATAATAATCTTCTAAAGATACAATAAGAGTTGCCACCTCGAATCGAATTTAAAATACTCAAACCAAATATATTACGAAGCAATTTTTCCAGTTTTTGTTTAGATTCTAAAAAAAAAACAGTAACAATTTTACAAGATGAAAAGCGTTTTTTAATTATCTATGTATACGTAATAGTATGTTCTGACTAATTGGAAGTCGAATTTTTGTAGTGATTTCGAAATCTAGGAGACAACTCCCTTACCTTATAGCTCTTGGATATAGCTAGGTAGGTAGATACCTACCTACTCATACCTGTATAATTATATTATCTAGTTAATAACTTTATATTATGTTCCATACTGATATTGAGCCATAATGGTAATTACTAAACTACCTATGTACTGGCATGATCAATTCATTTTAGAACATTATTTTTCCTGTAGTTATAGTACCTACCTAATAGGTATACTTATCTAATTACACCAATCTAATATAATATTATTCATTTAAAAAGAAAGTTTTGCGGTAAACACACGAATGCACACGAAATCTAAATGGTGAGTATGAAAGAAGAAAAAGTACAGATTTGAAAAAACTGTAAGCACCTACATAAAATCAAACATTGGAAAGTATCTTGAACTACCCAGCTAAGTAATTAGCAAAACAATTGGATTGGTCATGTTTGACGAGTTGACGGAATTCTTATTATTCGTAATAAAACTTTAAACGAAAAAAGCGACCAAAAGAGAGAGCCCGTCAACGCTGGATAGATATCAAGGTGATCAATAGTGATCAAGGTTGCAAAAGAAGCGAACGATAAAAATGGCAAGGAGTCAAGGAACCGTAACAGATAGAAAGACTTGACAGGTATAGAAGCGTGTTAAAGGCCTTAAAGCCGTGCTTATAAGTAAGCACAAAGAGAAAATATATGCCTACATATTATATTATAGGTAATAAATTGAAAACTAAAAAATGTGAAAGAATATAATTTTTAGCTAGTCGACAATTTTCAAGCTAACAATACAATTGTCACATGAGGCTGTATGTCGCGCGAGGAAAAATATTGATTAATTTTTACTTGCGATGTTGCCGTGTTTGCATTTTCAAGAGTCTATTGAACGGAGTCAACGCCGGATAATAGAGAAGGCGGCCCACTCACTGAGTTTTAAGACTTTCATACCTAGCTAAAAATGATACGTACATAATAGATAAAAATCATAAAATTTCCAACAATTTAATTAAAAACAAGTAGGTTGGTACATACAATTTTATGTAGACCCCCTGGATTCTATCGGTAGCTTGTTGGTTCAATGTAAAATTGAACGGGAATCGAGTTAAATTAATTGAATTTCTGTAGACCAATTTTGAGGGCAAGCGCAATTTTCGTGTAAAATATGACGCAGCCCTCCAGCATAAGGTAACTACGTAAATACCTACTTTGTATAGATATAAGTAGGTAGGTATATCATTATCATTGTGCACGTACCCATATGAAGCAGAATAATGAAATCGATTACCTATGTAACTACATGATTAATATGTCAGTGTTTCAACAAAATTATTCAATTTAATTATGTTTCATTCAGTTATACTTTTGAAAAATCAAAAATGTAATTTTTTATGTTTTTATTAGGTAGATAATTAATAATTCCATAAAGTCGATCAAACATAGATGGGTACCTAATAATATATACTTAATAATTAAGTTCATTAATAAATATTTATTTACAAACACAATTTAATTTAGAGTCCACGAAAAATACTTCATTTGAACAAACACCAATTTATTACGTTTCGTTTTTCCATTTTATGGGGCTCTTATTATAGATTCAGAATAAGAAACTTAATCAAATGCAGAATGAATGATTCGATTACAGTTTATTAATCTGAGTTGTAATGATGACATACAAATTAAATCTATTCTGTGATGACATCGTATCAGTAATACGTAATTAAACCATAGTAAATTTAGGTGATAAAATTTAGTAGGAAATATAATAACAAATAATATTTCAGTAAATAAATAATAATAATTAATATTACCAATATTATCATATCATTAATTTGATGTTTAACCGTTTTAATATAATTATTATAAAGATGTTAAATAAATATTTTTTAATTATTTTTAAATAATGATTAATGGTAGGTAAAAGTGTAAAACCATTGATTTTATAATGTTATACAATGTAAGTACTTATAACTTATAGATTATATGAAATGATATTAACGAAATAGGTAATATTGGGAAAATGTTTAATTGTAAAATCTACATTATTATAATTTAGGAAGGTATCTTTTGGTAGGTAATATTAGAATTAAAATTTTTTATTTAGTTAATCGTAATTTTTTTCTGTACATAGGTATGTATTACATACATCTATTTAATAATATATCGAATTTAAAATATAGACATATTATATTTTAGTAAATTAATAAATACGTAGGCACTAGGCATATTAATGTAATAATGTAAATTCACAAATTTTTATTTTGTTTTCGACAATAAAAATCTATTTCAAGGTAGTTTTTACGTTGTTGCGTTGGTAACACTGCGGGCTGCCCACTACTGAGTTCTCATTTTCCAATTGATTTTCCGATTTCCACCATTTTCGATTTGTTAATTCTACTAGTCTTATCTCCGACCGAGGTATTTGAATATTTTCTTAATGACGTAATTTTGTTGATTTACCAATATACTTTGCGAGTTTAACGATCACTTTGTATTACTTGTAAGTACTTGCTTGTTGTTCCAGAAGGTCGATTTACGATTTTCGACTCGAAGCAAACATGGCATTAAAAGCTGTAGTCGGACAAAGTAATATATTTATATTATTGTTGTATTGTTAATGTAATTGTACATGTCATTGGGCATAAATAATAATTTAATTTATTAATTTAACAGAAATCATGAACGAGGTCATAAAACAGAAAGGCGTGAAAAAAGGGGTAGATAAAGGGATAGAATGGCGCGTTATGGTAGTTGACCAGCTGGCAATGAGAATGATATCGGCTTGTTGTAAGATGCATGAAATCTCAGCTGAAGGCATAACTAGTAAGTGTTAGCTTTAAAGTTCATAATCTTGTACTTGTACTTGTTCATTAGTTTCAAATTTGTTTGTTCTTTAGTTGTCGAAGATCTCCAGAAAAAACGTGAACCATTGGCTACATTGGAAGCTGTTTATCTTATTACTCCAAGTGAAAAGTCTGTTGCTGCTCTTATTAGAGATTTCTCTAGCCCAGGAAAATCAATGTATAAAGCAGCTCATGTTTATTTTACAGAAGGTAAAATATTTAAATTTTTTAATTTCCTTATTTAATTGTTTAAATTATTTTAAATATTGTACTTTTTATATTTTTTAAATATTATCATATTTTTTGGTACCTACCCATATCTGAAAACATTTAGGAAATTTAGAATCTGTATATTGGGTGAATTATTCAATTTTTGTTATCCATTTTATTATCATATAGCATGTCCCGATGAGTTATTCAACAAGTTAAGTTTGTCTCCAGCCGCAAAATTCATTAAAACTTTAGTTGAAGTTAACATAGCTTTCATAGCATATGAACAACAGGTAAAATTTCACGATAAATGTTATCTTTTATAAACCAATGGTGGAAGTTTTTTTTTGCTTATTCGCAATAATATATTTATTAACAATATGTGTGATGAAATTTTATGTGCTGAATGATCTATGTCTTTATTTTTATGGTTTTGGTGTATTATTTGAAAAATTATTATTGTAGGTATAGGATTTATGAAAAAATTGTTGGCTTTAAACTAAAATAATATGTTGAATGACTTGCATAACACGGGAACTATAAATCTAATCTATGTTTGCTATTATTAAATTATTTTTATGTTGTTGAACATACTAATATGGTATTTATTTTACTGCTTTATTTTAACAAAAGTATGTCAAGAAGAACTTTTCAATGAACTATGCAAATCAATTGCTGCCAAAAAAATAAAAACACTCAAAGAGATTAACATCGCTTTTCTTCCTTATGAGCGTCAGGTGTGTGTGTTTTTTAACCTGTTATATTAAGATATATATATATATATATATATATATATATATATATATATATATATATATTCATATGTATATATATATATTTTACGCTTAGCTCTTGAATTTTATTATTAATTTTAACTAGTATTAATATAACTAGTGATTCACATATATTTTTTTATGGTATATCTAGTGCTTTAAATTTATACGTGTATGTGAATCTTCGAATAAAAATCCCCATAAAAAAAATTTTTGTTACTATTGCCAAATGTTGGTATTATTGATAAAAATATATATTTAATATACATTAATATAAGTATACAATTATTTTAGTTTTATTTAAAAACTATCAATAAGGACCTAGTAAATATAAAACAATAATAATTATTTTGATACACTTTTGTCATGGTTAACTTATTTCAGTGTATAATAAAATATTTCTGACTTTAATTTTTAAACAATAAAGAAAAAGAGAAAATAACATTACTTATTAGTACTATAAATTAGTTTTAATTTATATGATATTTTTTAAATAGTTCCAGCATTTAGTGTTATTAATAATATTATATATGATTAAAGGCAGCTTTGTCTCCTAAACTTACCCGAGTCAGACAAATAGACTGTTTTTAATATTCAGATTTGCCGAATAACGACAGTTGATTGAGCTTAACAAAAAAATATGGGTTGGGGATTTTTATTTCGAATACCTTTTTATGTATTTTGGTATAGTTCGCATATATATCTTATGGGAACACCATTGTGTAAATATATAATTTTGTTTTTCTTTTAATTAAAATGGTTTTTATACACATTCATAGGTATTTTCTCTAGACTCGCGCGAAACATTTCAATGTTATTATAACCCATTGCTGGTAAGTAGTCGTGTCCCTAATATGGAACGCATTGCCGAACAAATTGCTACTGTTTGTGCTACATTGGGGGAGTATCCGTCAGTACGCTATAGAAGTGACTTTGAACGTAACGCTGAATTAGCACAAATTGTTCAGCAAAAATTAGATGCTTACAAAGCTGATGAACCAACAATGGGTGAAGGTCCAGAAAAAGCTCGTTCACAGTTAATTATACTTGATAGAGGATTTGATTGCGTATCTCCAATTTTGCATGAACTTACTTTTCAAGCTATGTCTTATGATCTTTTGCCAATTGAAAATGATGTCTATAAGTAAGTAATATTTTTAAAATAACTTGGTATTATTGTTTTCTCATTTTTAATTTTAAATTAAACATTTTTTATAGATATGAAGCTAATGCTGGTGCTCCTTTAAAGGAGGTGTTGTTGGATGAGAATGACGAGCTCTGGGTAGAACTTAGACATCAACATATTGCTGTGGTTTCCACGTATGTGAATGATTACATTTATTTCATATTTTATACTAAACTATTTCTTTTTCTTGTAGTAATGTGACAAAGAATTTGAAGAAATTCATTGACTCAAAACGCATGTCTGCTGGTAATGAAAATAAGTCTTCCATGCGAGATTTATCTACGATGATAAAGAAAATGCCTCAATATCAAAAAGAATTAAGCAAATATTCTACTCATTTGCATTTGGCTGAAGATTGTATGAAGTGTTATCAGGGTAATGTGGACCGATTGTGTAAAGTAGAACAAGATCTGGCTATGGGTACAGATGCAGAGGGCGAGAAGATCAAAGATCATATGAGGTGCATTGTACCTATACTATTGGATCAAAATACGTCCAGCAATGATAAAATGAGGATTATATTATTGTACGTTTTGTCTAAGAACGGAATATCAGAAGAAAATCTCAACAAACTAATACAACACGCCCAGTTGTCAGCATCTGACAAACAAGCACTTGTCAATTTAACCTTGCTTGGCATAAACACTATCGTCGATGTAAGAAATTTATGTTATTATTAGAGTCTGGATTTAAATGCACTTAAAATTATCAAAAATTTCCTTTAACAATGTTACATATTGATTGATAAAAAAAAATATGGATATTTTGAATTTAAATTATTAAGTCGTAATATACTAAGTGTATTTAATTGATGGTTGTATTATGTACAAATACTATAATATTATTCTCGTATATTGTACAAAAATGCAATAAAATTAAAACGATTCTCTACAAGTGAATAAACATTGAACATTTCTAAAAAACTAAAACTAGGCTGAATAAAAGTTTCATCTTTGAAGTCTCGTGTTATATGAATCAAATTATGTACTTGGAAAAGCATTATCTAATATTACTCAAAAAAAGATTTATTTTGTATTGAAATCCAAACTCCCTAGTTGTTATGAATACAAAATTAAATTAATATTTTAAATATTTCAGGGTAACCGAAAGAAACAATACCAAATACCACGTAAAGAACGTATCACTGAGCAGACATACCAGATGTCACGTTGGACACCTGTAATCAAAGATTTGATGGAGGACTGTATTGAGGACAAATTGGATGCTAAGCATTTTCCTTTTCTAGCTGGTAGAGCTGCTTCATCTGGATACCATGCACCGACTAGGTGTGTGTATAGTCTTTATTTACACATAATTTCTTATTATTTTTACCTAGTAAATTACTTGATCCCTTTTTAGTTGGTTAGATATTTATTCATTTTATTTGTTTTATTCTATATTAGTGTGCTTACTATTTTTAAAACTAATTGTTTTGGGGAGCGCAAATTTTACGAAAAAGTAAAAAAAAATTTTTTTTAAATTTAACAAACAATTTAATTGGATTTTTAACTTAGAACTAAACAAACTATCTTTATAATCGTACTTAAATTGATCCTTTTTATGCCAAATCAAGAACTCTATACTTCTACTCATTATAGTCAATAAAATTATTATTATTGTAATTTATATTTTCATAAAAAGATCATGGTTATAATAAAAAGCATAAAGTAAATTAAATATTGAAATATTTATTTTTAAACAAAAATAATATTCTCATTTATTTATTTTTAAAAAAAATTTAATCTCAGTACCATGGCACTGTTATTTTAATAATTTATTTATTCAAACTAATAATTGAATGAATTTTTCTAAACAATTTTTTCGTTAGTGTCTTCTTAAATCTGTAATTCTTGATATTCTGCAAAAATATAAATAATACAGTGAATAAATCATGTTTTAATAGTTACCTTTTTAATGTATACATGGGTTTCATTCTCTGTCTAGCCATATGATACACACCTGACTTTCTAAAATGTATCTACTCCACTAGAACATTTATATCTATTAAAAAAATAATTGCTAAATTTAACATAATTATTTTCACAAAGAAATTTTTTAAAAATTAGTTTTCAAACTTATTGAAAAATCATTCATATAACTTTTAAGTTTTTAATCTTTTAAATAACGGAATATTTAATGCTGAAATAAAAAATATAGATTTTGCAAAAGCTATCCCCAAAATATTTTGAAAAATTTAGCTTCCGAGATTTATGATTCAGTTTATGTTCTAGTATTGAGTATAACTTCTGTAATCAACAAATCAATAATCTTAACTTTTTTGGAAGTATACATTACAATAATAATAGTTATTTACAATTTGTTGGTATCAATTTTAAGTAGTAAAACTTTAACGGTTTGACATGAAAGAGTTAATCTTAGGTAATAATCGGGTCTACAATAATGATATCATACAATTGTTTGTTGTATTAAAATTTAAGGATTATGATTGATATTAGTTTTTGTATTACAAATTATAAAAAATGTTGTATTTATGTTTGTAATTATTGTGGTGACAACTTTAACAATATCAATGCTAAAAATAGAAAATGTTGGTGTCAGGGTAATAATGCACAAGTGTCTTGATTAAATTTAATTTTATTCATTCCCAAGTGTCCAAAATAAATTATTCAAGTTAGAAATTATAGATTTAGAATATTCTTCTAGTATAAAAATAAAAAATAATTGATCATATAAAAAATACTTTCAGTAAGTTATTGTATTGGTTAAACATGTTCTAATTTTTTAGAATTATTTATTAGCGGTTTAAATTAAAATAATTGACAGTTAATAGCAGTACTAAGTCATCTTTGAACATTTTAATCTTAAAAAAAAAAAACAAATTATTGTGTTACAATTAAACAATGTTTATTTTTAGTGCACGGTATGGACACTGGCATAAAGATAAGGGTCAACAGCTTATCAAAAATGTGCCCAGAGTAATAGTATTTGTGATTGGTGGAGTCAGCTTTTCTGAAATCAGATGTGCATATGAAGTGACAAATAACTCCAAAAACTGGGAGGTTATAATTGGTAAGAATTATTTTATCATTTTTATATTATTATAAAATTCAGGATTCTTATAAAAATCTGTTATATTTTTATAGGCTCATCTCATGTTCTCACCCCAGAAGACTTCCTCAACAATTTGTCTGCTTTGAGTCAATAAACATTGTTTAATTCTTTCATGCTTCATAATGTTTTATTTCTTCAAAGTATTATTTAATGTAGCTTTAAAAATATTTATGTTATAGGGTTTAATACTAATTATTAACAAAAAAAAGAAACCCATAATTATTCAACCTAGTAACCCTTGATATTTTAAAGTTTTTGCATCAATTAAATATTATTTTCCAAAATATTCTTAAACTGTCCTTTTAATTTAATTCTTATTATCACCTAAACGTAATATTTATATTTTATAATAGTTTTTATTATTTGTTATTTATTTAATTTTAAAATTTTATTTGTTAATTAAATTATTCATTTGAATAACTTTCATTATTATTGTTATAACTATATTTCACTTATTATAGTTTAAAAACATTATGTATGTATTAGACATAATTATTTCTTTCAACGGACATTCCGCATTTATGTACCTATACATTAACTTATTTACAGAATTATGTCAAATTTATAAACTTAACATGTATTTACATTTAAATAACTGCTGCAATTATTGGAGTATTTAGCCACTTTAACTGATCGGTTAACTACTAATAGTTTTATTTCATTTAACATGAATTTTGTTTTTCAAAGTATTTACTTATTATATATTGATTATTATCTAGTCTTTCACTTTTGTTTTAGGCTTCTAGCACTTATAAATCTTTTAATCGTATATACTTTTACAAAAACCACAAATATTGCATAAATGTGTTGTTTTAAATAGCTTTCATCATTATAATACAAACAATTCATTATCATAATGTAATATGACTGTTAAAACTTTTTTATGGATATCTTTTATTATTATAATTCATTAATAGTGATTCTTTTTCTGGTTTTACCAGCAATTATTGTATGACTTTTTACTGTATTAACTTATTTATTTAACTATTTATAGAAATTGTTTAATATTATGGTACTTATTTATTTTTTTAATAAATTTAAATACTTATGTCTTAAATAGTTTTAAATGTTATATATTAAATATACATTTACTTAGACGATCAATATTATTTAGTCTTCGTCAATATTAACTCAAACGTTGAGTATTTTGTAGTCTGATCCAATAAAACTGTCTTATATTCTTACATTTAATTAGAGCAGAAAAAAATAAAGATATTCTTATAGAAATTGAATAAGAATTTTGTAACAAAGGACTTTGGTCCTGTTTTATATATTTTTATAATGTATTGGTGACATTTAAATTTAAAAGTACAATTTTACTAATTATTTTATGTAGTAAATACATTTTAATAGTGAGATCTAAAATATAATTATGTATACATAACACCTTAGGACGCGAGTCAAATGTTTGTATTTTAGATTCCGAGTAGAGCAAAAATGAAAGTATATTTTTTTTTTATCTGTGAATAACTTTTCTAACAGAAGCTCTAATTTACAATGATAGTACTTTTCTGAAAAGAAATCTGATTGGGATGGTACTTTAAGGAGGTCTTTTTTTTTGAGTTTCCATCAGTTTTCTCAATAAATGTGAAAAACGGGAAAATAGGTACATTATTAAAGAAAATGTATAATGCATATGTAATTATTTTATTATAACTTGACATATATATTGTTAACAAGGCTACATTAACTTTGACGAACTTCGCTCAGAATCATCGAGAAGATAGGATACATAGTTATTTAATTTATACCTGTATGAACCACTGATATATGAAACCAATTTATCAGGAAGGTGCATAATAATATCAAACACCAAAGACTACTTAAAATAAATTTATATTAATTAATTATTAACATTATAAATGCAATTTTGAAGTCCGGGGGGGGGGGGCAGATGCCTCGTTTTGCAGGCGCCCATGGGTATTTATAATTTGTATGGTATTAATATTTAAGAAAAGTCTGAATCACATTTGGAAACTCCTATAGAAGAACGTGTTACAACGTAGTTTACGAATAATTGAAGCTGTAGTTTTGGAAGATGCCAAAGATTTACAAAGTTCCGTGGTGGATGAAAAAATGTCGGAAACGTCTATGGACGATTTTACACTTTTGAGCGTATTGGTAATTGGGTTTTGAAAAGGTAATAATTATTGTTAGAAATAATTGGAGTATAAATAAGTAATTTGTATTTCATTTGTTTTCCATTCATATTAGGTAAATATTGTGTCAACACAAAAAATCAAGCGAGTATTTCAGCATAAAAACATTGAAAAAAGCAATATAATTGCCGACGGCGAAGTGGAGTCATTAATATCTGCAAAAAAAATATTCAGAGTAGCTAATGACATCCGATAACCATTTTCAGTAAATTTATTCGCCTACTTTCAAGTGTTACGACACTAATGACATTTAGGACATAAGGGTATGTATAATTCTAAAATTTTTGTTCAAATTTTTTTTTGTTTAAACAAATTTTGTGTTTGTATCTACCGATAAATATAATTATATTATTTAAAATATTTATGTAAATTGTGTACAATCATTAAAAAAAAAAAAAAAAGATTTAATACTGTGGACGGGCGCGGCCACTGTTGTTGGTGGGTAGTAGGGAAGATGGGATACATAAAGTTATTTAATTTATACCTGAACCCAATGATTGACGATTGATAACGAAAAAAGATTAGGAGCGAAGTTCGGTTATACATGTTTTGAAAGGTCGTAATATTTACGATTGTTGTCAAAATTTGATTTCATAACTAATAAAATAAAAAAATTATTACATTACACCCAATTTTATTTTTTGTAACAAAATTTTTTCTATGTTATCTACCTGACGTAATTTCGCCAACAAATTTCACGGAACTCGGGTTTAAACTTACGAACCCTGGAATGTCATCGGGTACAACCACTACATTACGACATACATCCTGTGACGTCAATATTAAAATTTTTTTATAAAAAAAAAAATTCAAAGATAAGGCTTAATTTTTTTTTTTAATTAACCGCAAATATGACATTTAGGAACATCTCGTTAAATTTTCAAGTATTTCTGTAATGAAATTCAGGAACCTCTTGTTAAATTTTTAAGCATTTCTGTATGGTCTGACAATTTTATCCACCTGCTGAATAAAAACTATCATTTTGAACATTTTACAAAGTGAAAAAATAATGTTATTTTTTCATTGATTAAAATATGAAAATGAAAATTTAATTTTTCTCTATACCCGTGGCCCCCGGAAGTCCCGTTTCGAATTTTAATGCCAAACTCACGCAGTGACTTTTTTTCGCAACGTTTTGTACAACCCTCCAAACACGAGAAAAATGGATGTTTTGCTATGCGCGTGCTGGAGAAATGTTTCCCTGGCACTTCCGAATTCTCGGAAAATGAGCCTTCCGACGGCTCCGAGGGGTGAGCGCAGTGTGCGGGGGATCTTCACCCCGCGGATACCTGATAATTATTGCGCTTGACATTATGTACTTTGTCGATTTCTATAATAACAACAATAACGCCACAACCTCAAATCCACGGTTTATTAATAAAACGTATCTTTTTCGGGAACGGACTAACCAGTCGGGGCGCTTCGTCTCGGAGAACAACGTAATTTACGCGCCCCGGCCCGGGCGACCGGAGCGCGAGCCACGCGGAGACACGTCCCACGGGTCCTACGTCCGTTTCTGTCCTACCGGATACTATTATGATAATACGTAATACGTGTTATCATAATAGACGTCCGAAAATAAGGTCAAAACTACTCGGGTCCCCGACCTTACTCCGGGGCACGTTCAAACGCCCGGCGCAAACAGTTAACTCTATTGACACCCGGCTCCATCCCGAGGGGTACGCGGAAAAAGATTCCGTACGGAGTGGCCCGATCCGCGGGGGGG